GGTTGCGTTGCTTCGCTTTGCCTGCATTGCTCGCGCTGAAAGTTGTGAAAAGTTCAACTTCAAACGTTGACGGAAGCGTGTGTCAAATCAAATCATATGCCAGTACAAGCGCTAGCCAATCAAACCGCGTGCTTTGTGTGTCCGGGGCGGGAGATTAATGTGATTGGTTGTTGGTCGTTAACCCCAAGCGCCAGATACACACATCGCCAAGCGTCAACGCGACGGAACCGTGTGTACTATACGTAAAGGAAGTCTAAAGCAAGCCCTCAGGAAGTAAGTGGACCATTGGAGCACATTTTTGTAGTGGCCAGACCGTGGGACTACAACTCCTGTGTCAGTTTGTGATGCCATTGGGCCCAAAAAGCTTTTTTCCTATTGACTTACATTTGTTAGAGACCGGCTAACTCAAATAGCCCTTATTATAATCATCAGGTGTAAAGTTGTAAATGCGCTAAAAGCTGAATTCAGAGTTATTCTCTCAGTTCATTTGACTGAGCCAGGGCTGGCCGATATGTGGTGATTGGAGGCGGGGCTTAAGGTAAAAACAAGTGTGAATGATCAATGGCTTTACATAAAACACATCACAACCAAAAAGTTAAACAAACACACTGATACAGCGTAAGGATATTTAATGATACGTCTCTCATTGAGGATTTTAGTTCAGCTCTGAGAGCGCTCTCAGACACCTATGTCTCCCTGTTTCTCCGTTTGTTCACCCAAAATAGTCAGTGTTCTTGTTTTAAAGTGATGGCTGTTTAGTTTGGAAAGTAAATCCAAACCAAATTATAACTTTTCAAATATTTATAGCTGTTCATCAGTTCACCACAACCTCTCCCGTGCATCAATGAATTCTACCATCTTAAATTAAAAGATCATTATCAACTACAACTGCTTGGGGCCCCGGACCAGAAGGGTTGGCTGTGCGTGGTGATGAAAAGCTGGTTCGAGGGGCCCCCAGTGAATGTTTGTCTATGGCCCCCACATACTATAGAATCGGCACTGGCTCTATGGGTTCAGATCTGCTGATGGTCAGGGTATTTTGTTCTCGAGTCAGGTCAATTTGGCTTCAGGGTCACTGAGCATCGTTCAAAATGAACAGGGCCCCATCTGCGTGCGTGCGTGCGTGCGTGCGTGCGTGCGTGCGTGCGTGCGTGCGTGCGTGCGTGCGTGCGTGCCTGCGTGCGTGCGTGCGTGTCTGTGTGTGTTCTCCAGGGCCCAGTCTGCCTGGCCCTGTCCCTGGAGATTCTAGTCTGAATTGGCCTACATACAGTATGTCTGCTTCTGCACCAGTTAGTCTGCCTCATGTTCAAATAAAAATCAGATCAGTCCAGAGGAATGGGATGGAGGTGTATGAGGGGAGGGGGGCAGGAGGAGGGATGGATGATGTTATAAAACGTCTTGGAAAGAGAGAAAAATGGAGCGATCAGAATCTGGGTGAAGGAGTTAGGGATGAACAGAGAGTGCTTTATTGGATTTGACAGATGGAGGTTATGTTAATATTTGATATAGGCTGATGTGACCTACTGAGGCGGCTGTGTTCGCTCCCACTTATATTACACTTTTTCACAGTGTTATACATGTGCAAGTCTGCATTGATTTGTAATTTGTTATCTGCTGGTGAAATGTAAAATGTAAAAAAAAACAATCTGTGAGGAGCTGGCTCTTTTTTTCAGAGACCAATTCTTACTATTTATTTGATACCAATTTGGTTATACAATTAATAAAAACAACAAGGTTTGGGTTCGTTCTTCAGATGACTGTGACGTTAACGTGTAAGCTCAATAATGAACTCCAGCTCAACCAACCATATCGTAAAATCTAAGTAATCATCTTGAAATATGACATTAATAATTGTAATATACACACATCTTATTGTGAGGTTGATTTCACATACACTACGCTACTCTTCAACACTACTTTGACTTTAGCTTGTCTACATACTCGAGCATAGCTAATTTAAATTAACCTTAGCGATGCATACAGTGACATACCTAATAAAATATCTCTCTAAGTTACAAGGATGACCTTATTTTACCAACCTCAAACAGAAGCCGGTTGTTCTACAGTATTATCCCACTTAACACTTCTCTATTACGTTTGAACTTGGAGGCTACGATTATCATTAACCCAAGCCTTAGCATTCATTACATTAGCTGATTAAAATCATAAACACATAAAAAAGTACACACATTTTACTTACCCTATTCATGCACCGTCTGTTTTAACCGCAGAGCGAGTCACAATAGTCCGATATATAAGCATGAAGAACAAGCAAACACGGCAGAGTTCAAGTTATGTTCCCCGGATGAGCTGAGCAGGCAGAGTCCCTGTAGCATCACGGAGCTGCTAGCAAAGAGACAGGAAGCTAACAGCAGCAGTCACTGGATAGAGCTGTAATGTATGCATAACTTTAAGGCTTAATATGAATTAAACACATGAGTTGAGAAAAGATTCACCCCCCCCCCCCCCCACAGTTGTCATGAAGGGGGAATCTTACGGAGCCCCCTAGGGCAGTGGTTCCCAACCTTTTTTCCCAAGAGCCCCCCCCAAATGACAATGATTGATCCGCAAAATTAGAATTGGTCAATAACTCAGCTCAGAGGGACGTGCGTGTCCCCTCGCTCTGAGTGTTCTCTTGAGGTGTCTTTCACTTATGTGAAACCCTTTCCTATTGCCAAGCACTGATGTTATATCTTTATATTTTAGGCCAAGCTCAAAGTAAAAATCGATGAACCGCTCCATTGTTGTGGTTTCTGTGCAGGGACGCGGGAAGGGGGGTGCTGAGGGGGCTGCAGCACCCCGATCTGTTGGCGGAGAGTTGTAACTGCAACGCCAAAAAGTTCACTAAACAAATCAATACAAAAGTTTTATTTTTAGTTACTATTTTTGAGTTAGCATTTTAGTGTAAGCAGTCTATAAAAAGCTTCACTATATAAGAGAAAGTGATAATGTGGTGTGCTTCTTCTGTTGCTCTGCTATAGAAAAGAAGCTTGTCAGTGCAGACAAGATCAGGGATGGGAGTTTTGTGAAAGCAGGGTTTAACAACTGGCGAAAGGCAGGGGAAACATTTAGGGAGCATGAGAAGTCCCATCAACACACAGGCCGTCAACAAACTGGCAGCATTAAAACGAACACCCATGAATGCGCTGCTCTCACAAGCTGTTGCTAAAGACCAAATGACTGCATTTAATATGACATTATGTATCACGCAGACCCCTCGCGGATGGGGCCTCATTTTGCGAAGGGAACCTCCTTCCTCTGAAGCGGCGCACCTACAGTGTAGCGCGCCACAGTTTCGCCGCTGCAAGGCTCCACTAGCACCCTCCCTCGTCCCTGTTTCTGTGTTGCCAAACTGACCCGGAAATACATTGAGCTAAATGAAAAGTTTAGCTCAAAGGTTTTCAAAGATAGATTTTTTTTTTGACCAATTTTTTTGTTAATCTCCATGTCCCCTAGGGGGCTCCGTAGAATCTAACTATACAAAGAATAAGAGTTTTCGAACCACGATGTAAACATGTTTATTTCTGCTGTAAAGTTGGGCATTTTAACATGGGGGTCTATGGAAATTGCTCTCTTCTGCAGACTGCTCCTACTGGCCACTAGATGAACTGCAGTTTGAGGCACTTCCTTATAGGCTTCCCGGCTCTGCCCCAGAGTTTGCCGCTTGGTGTGTGCATGTGTGTGCACATCTGTCTCGGTGCGTGCATGTGTGTTCACACTGCGACGGCTGGAGTAACTCATCTCTGCAGCACACTGCAGTATCTGGGTCACACACTGAACGTAGCAAAAAAACATCCACACTCTCATGTGGAGCTCCATTAAGCTAAGAAGTGTTTTGATGCTGCAGCTTTTTGGCTCATGTTATTCAACATGCTGTTTTTTGTCTTCCAGGTGGAGTGCAATTCCAAACTAGACCCGACCAACACCACCTTCCTGAAGGTAACAGTCTGTGCTCAGCTCACCTGCAGCGGCTCCATCCTGACACACGTCTGATTTATAGTGCAAGCACAACTTCACCTTTTCACACCCAAAAATAAATGAAATATCAATCAATCAAACTGTACCCATTACACAGGTTGCAGATTAAAGTGCATTACAGATGTATATGCCGGAATTAAGACAGAAAATAAATAAATAAAATAAAACAGAAAAATGTCTTTTAAACTATTTTACAATTGGTAACCACACACAAATATTCCTGATTTACACAATATGATGCTATATAAGTGCTGAATTTTAAAATGGTAACATTTTACGCTGACATGTTAATAGTATGGTTTGGTGTATATTCTTCTATAATTAGTTTTATGCTAACTAGTCTTATTGAAAGAAACTCTTTTGTCACACAGCACTTTGACCATAGTGCTGATCAAATAAGACGTCCAATGAAAGCACCAGGTGTACTTCTGCAACAAGTTCATACAGTGGCCTTTCCCTTATTTAAGAGACAAGAAACTCAATTAACTCATTAAACGGACTCTGAAATTAGTTAGCATCTAGCCCTTTCCTCGTCTAGAAAACATGCCTGAAAAAATGTATGAATACATAGGTTAAAGAGATTTTAAAAGTGTGTTTAGTGGCATAAAATGCTGTATGTCAGTAAATACCAAAAATCTTGGCAAAAATCAAAATTCCACTTGGTTTTGTCCAAAAAACGCCTGTTTGCCAACAAAACAATGACAATTATGTTATTCATACTGTGATAAAACTTCAAAGATTTACAAAAAATGTAATGAGTTAAGTTAAGTTAACACGAGATAATGTTGTTTAGTTAAGAGGCAAGCAGAGAAAGCATGTGTTCATTTTAGTCTAGTTTTGAGCTATTAGCGGTTAGCTTCATGCTGCGCTCTCTCCTCTCTTGTAGATGGCTGACTCTGGAGGACTTCCCCAGCTCACACAGGTAACACACACACACACACACACACACACACACACACACACACACACACACACACACACACACACACACACACACACACACACACACACACCACACACACACACACACACACACACACACACACACACACACACACACACACACACCTGCATATTTTACAGGCTGCCATAAAATCAAATGAAATTGAGAAAGAGCATGAATGCATCATCCATATTTGACATGTTTATCTCCATATTCAGTTAAATGAAATGTTGTGTTGTTTTCCAGCCTGGGAAGCTGACTGAAGCCTTCAAGTACTTCCTGCAGGGAATGGGCTACAGTGAGTATCCACAATGAGACACTGATGTTAGCGAGTGACAGAGTGATTTCAGAAAATAATTCTCTTAAAAAGCAATTTCAGCAGAAAATATTAATGTTGTCATGTGTGCAGGCTTGGGAGGTATAACGGATACGTATTCGATTACATTAAAAAAAAAAAAGTAATCAGATAACTGTAACATTTAGAAGAATCCGGATACCTGTATTCGTCCCACAGAGGGGAAATGTACATTGTTAAAGCAAAAGTGAAGAGCCAAAGACAGCAAAATATGAATTAAGAAGCGTGCATAACATATTAAAGAGAAAAGTAGAAATTACACAATTTACATTTTGGAATAAAGATCAATATATAATAGGTAGTCGTACTGAACACATTTTATTCATGGTTTATATTTAGGCTACTTTAAGTCTTCTTTATTTTAACTACATTTTTTTTGTATGAAACACATTTTCTACATACACTTTATGTAATTTATTTTTTCTTGTTTTTATTTGCATTAAATATTGAGGTAATCCAAAGTTACAAAAGTAATCAGGTAACATTCCCTATATATTTGTGATACTCTGATTAGGTTATTGATTACATTTTTTGAGATGTAACTAGTTATATTAACGGATTACATTTTGAAGTCACCCTCCCAAGCCTGCTTGTGTGTGTGAGTGTGTGTCAACGAGGGTCATGAGCTGTGTTAATCTTCCCTCTGTCTTCCTGCCCCGTTCTCTCAGTCGCTTATGTGAAGGATCGGAGGTTGAGTGGAGGGCCAGGTACTCCCCCCGCCTCACGTCTGACCTCATTTGCTGCCCTCATTTGCTGCCCTCTTATTGACTTTGGCATCTTGAACATTTATTTTGATTTACGTTGGTTATGACTACAATATGTTGGGCTGTTATGAAATCCTGCTAGCATTACTAATATATATTTTTTAATCTCAAGGACGTTAAACCCCATCATTGTTTTATAAAAAATATTTTTTCCAACAATGGAAAAATATAATCCCCTGACCTCCCCCTCCCCCATTCCTTTGCTACTGCATCTCCAATGCTGCTCTTTGCATGGCCTTCAGCTTCGAGCACAGCCTTTTGGTCTGAGTTTGTAACTAATGATCATGTCTTTAAGTTACTAGCAACAAACTATAAGACAAGTTGAGGTTTTAAACACATCTGAACACTAAATCTAGTTCTGTAATAAAACTGCTGACTGAACACTATTTAAAAATGTATTTTGCCCTCAGGGTTAAGCAGATTACTCGTTAAACTGCTGTCCCTAATGCACTGAAAACAGAATACAGTATGAAACACTCTAAGTGTATTTCTAATGGTGCGTTCAGACCGGACGCAAAGCAAATGACTCAAATTAAATGTAAAGTCAATGCAAAGGCCGGAGATAAAAGCAAATTGATGCTTGGTGGCGCGAATGACGCAGCGTGACTGAAGCTAGCTTCATATGCGATAATTTGGTGTGGCGCGGTCCCATGGAGAATCTCCACCTGTTGGCACTGACTGAATCAGAAAACAAAATATCAGCCGCTGGCTGCGGGCAGCGACACACAGAGCTTACAGTTCCTTATATCTGAATAGAAACTGGAGAAAATTATATGTATATAAACCACAGACTGTCTGTGGCACTGCAAATGATTTCAATTATATTTCTGTTTGTATGACGTTGTGAGTGTGGACGCAGCAGCTACAACGGTAGCCTAGCCGGATTGATCCAATCTCCATTCGGAAAACAGACATTTAAAAAAAAAAAGTTCTGCTGTTCACGTTCACACTTGCCAAAGCATTCATTCATGGTTTTTACTTATTGGTATATATGTAGTTATTTCTGCATCATTGTTGACGTGTTATGTAGTGCGATCAACCCTGAGAGAATCTTTGCTTCATGTCCGGTGTTAACAGACCATTGAGATAAAGGATGGAAAAAATACATATATTATCACAGGATTCAAATTAATGATCAATTCAAGGAAAACTATTTTAATTGTGAAGCTGGTAATGGTGGAGATAACTTAAATTAAGTTTTTTATACCTCCAGGTATCTTAATCCATTACAATATTCCATCATAGTTCATTTCATTTAATGTTTGTATTTATAATATGAACCTGCAAATAAACTAGTAATTCATCTTGTCAAATAAACAAAGAGATGAAACATTTATTTTATTTCAAGTTGTGTTGGATTACTATGAGGAACTTGCATAAAATGAAAAAATTAGTAAAGTATAAGTACCTACAAAACTGAACTTAAGTATAGTACCTGGGTTAATGTACTTAGTTACTTTCCATCACTAGTTCTAGTTCTATAAATGAGGCCACGTTTACACGGAGACGCAACGGGTTGTATCCGCTACAGTTCTCTATCGTATGGACGGTTCGTCCACACGAGGCCGTAACGGAACCGCGGAAACAAAGCCCTCAAACGGTAACGGGTCCCAAGGTGGGTAGATCTGCGAACGAAACGCTCTGGGGGGGCCCAACGGCTCCGTGTGTACGTCCTATACGCAGTGCTTGAATTGGAATGAAAAAGGTGCCAGTACTCTAAAATCAGCAACTTTTTCAAGTCAATTTTATATATACAGCCCACAAACAAGAATTTGGCTACTATAATGCTGGTGGGTTTGTCTCTTTACTACTGTATATTTTAGAAAGGTTCACTGTACTTAACATTTTTTATGATAGGCAGCGGATAGGGCTAAAGCTCAGTAAGGTCAATATTAACTGAAAATATAGCAATCAAAGTCTAGATCTTCTGCTGAAGACACATGAAGCAGAGACCTTTCAGGTGAGAGCCCCTCTGGTGGTGTTCAACATTAATGACAAGGAAACAAAGCTCTGGTCAGAAGCATTTTTTATAAAAGCTTTAACAAAATTAAGTATTTCTGTACATTTTGAATGCAATCTAACTTTCCAACTCAGAAAACGAAAAACGAAAAAGTGCCAAAAGTCTTCTCACATGGCTGAGCTGCTTTGCAATATACTTCACCACTGAAGAATACAAATATGTATAAAGTAAACTATGATGCAATCTAACTTTCCAACTCAGAAAAATGATAAAGAGCATGAACAAAGAACATGTAAAAACAAATGCAAAATTTGCACAATCTAAAATGAGAAACTGTAACTGCAAGTAACAAAGTCTGAGCCATGGTAAAGAGTTACATTGAACACCAAGCTGATCAGATAACTCCCTGGTTGGTCTGAAGTCCTTCTATCTCCAGGATCTGTACAAATCGGCACATTATGCCAAAAGTCTTCTCACTGGGTGAGCTGCTTTGCAATATACTTCACATTGTTAGAAAAGGCTCCAGAAGGCCTTGGGAACATCAGTATCAGGGGCTGGAGCTGGACAGGCTCTTTCATCAGCACTTCTCCTTCCCTTTGCCAGCCAGGACCTCACATACTGTTCCAGATTGAACTGTCCTAGTGATGGTCCATTACATTTAATGAAAACCAGGCTGGACAGTCGGCTGACAGAGAGAGCATTCCTTTTTGCAGTAAGGATATCGTTCATGCAGCTGAATGCCCGCTCACACTCACTAGTGGAGACAGTGATGGTTCGGACTGCTTTCAGTAGAGGCTCCATGGCAGCAGGTGTACGGGATGCCCTGGTTTCCTTGTATTCGCGAAAGCCCTGAACAGTCTCTCTTCTGTCCACTTTCAGCACTTCGCACAAACGTAGCACCTCTACGTCCCCATACTGTACGTCTAACTCCTCTTCAGGCCAACTTCCAGGATGGATAACTTTCATGTCCTGGATTAGCTGATTGTCCCGGGCCTCCCGGCCATGTAATGGGATTTCTCTTGTGCAGACATGATAGGAGGTTGTGGAAGTCATTCTGTGTCTCAGATTCTCTACCATACTGCGGAAAAACTGACCTGCATGAATCTGTACAAGCCTGCCATTCTCACGCAGGGCAACACCCTTGAAGGACTTCTCAGCTAGAGCTGTATGAACTGTAGTCATGTGTGGGCCAGGCATGGTGACCATGGATTCAAAAACTCGTATTTCTCGAGTTAAGAGCCTATCTGCTGTAGGCAGTGTCATCTCTCTTTTTTGGAGTTGCCGAGAGAGGTCGCTGAGCTCTGTGAGCGCATCGTACATCAGTCCCAGATTGCTGACAAACGTTGCAGATGTGAGCACATCATCCAGGCCCTTGTACTTTGCTCTGTCTCTGGAATCCCTGCTCGTGTCGTTTGCAGCATTTGTGAAGTGATCATGAAGCACTCGGTAGTTTTCCCAGACTGCTCTGACGCTCCTTTCACTTGAAGCCACCCAGCGGATGGACAAAACACGCCCTATCACCAGGAGACGCTGTCCGACTGCTTGCGCACACTGCGCTAACTGCCTCTGATTTTTGGGGGAGGCATGGAACAAGGAATAGAGTTTGTCAAAAAAGATCTGGAAATGATTGAGCCCTGAGACCTCCTTGACCACATCCCCAACTGCCAGCTCTAGACGATGATTGGAGCAGTGCCACACAAACAGGCTTGGGAATTTACTACACAACTGGGTAGCAACGCCTGTTCTCTTCCCTAGCATGACTGAAGCCCCATCACATGCAAAAGAAACGAAACACTGACCTAAAAAGTCCTCGTTAAAATCTCTTCCAAGACACTCCATTAACGCCTTTGTGATGTCATCAGCCGTTGTTCCATCCAACTCGATCAGCTCCCAAAAAAACGTTTCGGGCTCAGCATCAGCTAATGCTGAGCGTAGACACACAACAAGCACCGTTTTACCACTAATAGTGGTAGATTCATCGACCAAAACACAGAGTTTTCTTTGGTTTTCTGTAATGTCTTTTGCCATTTTTTTCTTCAGCTCATGAGCTATGTGGTCGATGATTTCACCACAGGTTTTATTGGAGTGCAAAACCCTGCCCACGTTCAGCCCATTCAGTTTCTGTACATTCAAATCAATTGGCATGTCTGTGAATGGCCGGCTATGTTTGCCAATTTTATATGCCGTTCGAAAAACTCTGATAGTGGTGTCTAATTCAGATTTATGCATAGACTGCACTTGATGTTGAATAGTTTCACGTGAAGCAGATGTAAGGATGTCAGCAGCTTTTACATGGGCTTGTGATTCTTTATGTTCTTTGATTTTTTTTTCTCAAGCTAGCTTGTTGTTTGCCCTTGTCAACACCGAAATGAGACACTGCACACTCACCCCATTCAGTTGACAGTTTCAGTCCTTGTCCAGTGTGTATTCCCAAAGATTTGACATCTCTGCATATCCGACATCCTAGCTTCTTATCTTTAAGAAGGAGCCATGCATTGGTCTTGCAAAAATATTGCACCTGGTCCGTTGTCCAGCAGTCAGGTGCATCGCTTTGCCCGGTGTTGGTGGTGGCAGTTGCGCCAGCAGCAGCTAACGTTAGAGGCTCTGGAGGAGGCGGCGGAGCTAGTGCTAATGCTAATGCACTAGAACTTGGAGCAGGAGGATCAACCAAAGAAAGCTCCCCATCACACACAATTTCCAACACAGGCACAGCATTCTCTGTATTTGAAGTTTCTTCCGGCGACAACCGCTGTCTTTTTGCACTTTTATTAATCCACGCTAACATTTTAGAAATGCTAATTTGTGAAGTGACTTGCTTTCCTTCTCTCGGGGGCGTGCCTGCTCTGTTCTATCACTCTACATAGCCACGCACTGGGTGGGAGTTGCACTGCATAAACACAACACACGTGCATCTAGGTATGTCAATTGTAAAGCATTAAAACATGGTTTTACTAACAGTTTTCAGTATGTTGTTACTTCGGCATTATTATTATTATTATTATTTTGAAACGTGTATTACTATTAAATCACGGTCAAATAGGTTAATTTTGACATAGTCGTTTCCACCACAGTATTTACATGGAGAAGATAAGCCCCGCCCCCTCTCCAGCACGTTCTGTTTGAATGACAGGAGTAAACAGCTGACAGCCGCTGTGAAACTCCAGCGGTTAGAGCGATGAGAATGTCGGTTCGGCACCTCATGACGCATCTACTGAGTACCGGGCGGCTGTATATATATATATGGATGTATAATAAGAACGGCGGGAGAGTGTTGAGTACTGGCACGGTGCATGAGTACCGGAGTACCGCCAGCATGCCGGTACTGAGCAAGAAGTGCCGGTACTCCATGGGTCAGAACCAGAAGTGCCGGTACTGCGTACCGGTGAGTACCGGCCCAATTCCAGCACTGCCTATACGATCATTTCCTGATAATGACAACGCCATAGCCCCACCTCTCCTGCTCACCCCCGCGTCACCCGCGTTATTGCTGATGTGTTTTCGCCAACAACCTCTGCCGCACACTGCTGTAGCATGGTCAGTAGCTACTGTCTGCTACTGACCATGTTGTTAGTGCAACATCTACTGCTCCTCTACCACAACCACCAGCAACAAGTGGACATGGAGAACTACATGAACTACATGTTGCTAAATCCACCACGGAGAATAAACAGAAGGGCAACCAGGCAACTACGGCAACCATGCTCGGGGGGTCTTCTTCGCTGCTTTTGGTGTATTTTGTGGTGGAAGTACAGCGCCACTTACAGGTCCGGCATATGTACTACAGCGTCTCCAGCGGGTCGAGCGGTCTCGTGTGGACGAACATGTTTCTTGAGCCGATACCGTGTGGACGGAATACTTTTTTGATATCGACTAAGGTTCGTTTTCGTTATCGTAGCCGTGTAAACGTGGCCTAATTCATTGTATAATAAAGTCCCAGCAGTAACAGAGTGCATGGTGCTGTCACTGACAGCTTCATCCATCAGCCGTTTGTCACCAGCTACTCAAAGGGATATTCTTTACATTAGCATGTTCTCCCAGCATCTCAAAGTATCAACTAATAACACCTTTTCCCCCACAATGCAATGCTGAATTATTTTCTCTCCCGCAGTGCCCTCGGCCAGTATGACCCGCCTGGCCCGCTCCAGGACCACCTCCCTGACCAGCGCCAGCTCGATCGACGGGTCCCGCCCCCGCGCCTGCACCCACTCCGACAGCACAGAGGGGGTGGGCCCCGTCACCCACACCATGGAGGTCTCCTGCTGAGGAGTCACAGAGAGAGAGGGTGGGAGGGGTAGAGGGGGGGGGGAAGAAGCAAGATGGAGATGAAGACACAATGGTGGGGTTTGAGAATCATGAGGGATGAAGGTGTCTCTGTAGTCAAACATCGTATATGGTAGAAGCAGCAACAGGAAGCCCTCTCTGCTTCATCCAACCCCTCCAGATCCTTTTATCTGACATCCCCCCCCCACTGTAAAATACCATACGTGTTGCTACTAAAACCCCAACCACACCTTTTAATGTCACTTCAAGATTTAGGCAACTGTTTTTGTTGTTCTTTGTGTTTTGTAACGGATTATTTGCCTGCCCCCCCCCCCCAAACCTCCACAAACAAAGGGATGTAAATGAGTCAATCCACACAGCAATATGTGTAATAAGCTACTGTTTATAATGTGAAATGGGGAGTGGTCAGAGAAAGTGAAAGTGCAGGACCTAGAAAGGAAAGCAGTGTTAAGCATCAGTGTTTTACAAGCAGGGTATTCTTCTGTTGTCGTATGGATACAAAGTAAACTCTCTCTGTGTTGTTTGTAACAAATAGTTCTTCTCTTTATGAATGCGTGTCAGAGTGTGTCCAGAATTAGACAGATAACAGAACACAGCCTAGCGTAGCCGAGTGCACCTGTAGTGCTTAGAGAGGATGCTCTCTTAGTCTAAGATCATAGCTAGAGTTCACAATGCAGACATTAAAGCTGCACTTGGTAAAAGTTTATATCCAATTTACGCTGAAGAAAAAAAGTGCTATCATCAGCATACTGTACATGCGATTCAGGCCGCCATTCGTGACTTCCCTGAGACCACTTGAGGTGAATTGGGTTTTGTTTGATGAAGAGACAAATCTGTCTCCTAAGAAGAACTTAAAAGTGGTATCTTCAGAAAACGCTCTGTTCCATTTGGTCTGATACTGATTCGTTTCGGCCCTTTGGAGCCGTATTATTGCTGAGTGCAGCTTTAAACTATGTGTTTCACATTTCTAATCCAATCCACTATGTGAGTATAGGCTAGAATAAATACTAATTAGTGTATGCATGTCAACGTGAAGGTTTATCTTAACGCATTCTAGTTTTTGAGCAGTGTTTAGTGTTAGGGCATCATTCATTAGCAGTGTACAGTATTAGTTAAATAGAGCCATCATCAGTATCTAACTCCATTGCAGCGGTCCTGGCCGTAGTCGGCTCTTTGTGGTCTCTAACATGACAATCACACACTGACCCACACCAAACCAGACCAGGGGGGCCGATGCCGGAACGGACCCACCCACCCAGCTCGGGTCGCCACCAAATAACTCACAGCGCCCAGCTCTCTTAGTGGATATACCAAAGCTACCCCGACCCCACCACACACACACTATCCAACCAGAAACATATTCCCATGCACACACACACCCATATGACACCTATGTGGGCTTTGCTTTGTAAGGGAACTACGTTAAAGAGTGAAACATAAAGTCCATCGCTATATGGTTAGTTTGTACTTTGATGTGATGTGTAATCTCCCTAGTAAAGCACATCAATATTAGTATAGTTTTAGATTAGTAGAGCTGTGCACTGTTATCTGCTGTAACACTGGACCCCCCTGTCGATCAGTTTTTTCTGATCTATTTTGCTTAGTAATGTACAGTATGCATACACCACAGCCACAGTCTCCTGTTTCAACTTTTACAAAAGAAACCTTCGGTCCCCTGTCAGGAGGGGCGTAGGTAGCCTGTAAGGGGCGGGGCTATCTGGAGCCATTTAGGCACCAAGCTCAGAATGTAGGGCAACCCCCAGCCACCTTCAAAAGAAGAAACCCTTTCCCCTCAAAAACGCGGTGCCCCGGCTTTTACAGGCAGACCCAGTCGCACCCTAAAGGGCTATCAGCTGAAGTCACTTTTTAAAATGCTCGTAGTGTTTGTTGTGTGTAGTCTTTTGTTACCTAAACACAGAGAGAGATTCTGACGTGAAAAATGGGGAATGAATGTGAGAAGAATGTGATGTTGATTAAGCTGAAGAGATTATTGTTGAATCATTTGAAATATCCATGAATTAAATAGTTAAACTAGCCTGACATTAAAGAAGAGAAGATAAGTCAGATCAAGCGCCTCACACTGAAAAAACTGAAATGTTGACTTTAATTAAATGTATTGTGTCAACAGATTTCATATGTATGTATTAAGTTAGTTGAAAGTATTATATTAAGTTCTACCTAATTGTTTTATTTCAACTTAATATTATTGCCTTCAACTAACCTTTCATTTTTTTCAGCGCAGTTACTAGACGTATCCAGTCATGTTTTCTCTCTTTATGAAGCTTTTCTCTGCCATATACACTTTGGTTTCCTCCTACTCAACCTTTACCCGTACTGCCTGGGGGGCTCCTGAATGTATTTTGTCCTTTTTCAAAGTGCTGTACAGTATTGCCAACCTACGCCTCTCAGAACCCCATACCATGTTTTGCACTCTATCCCTGCTTTTTTGACATTTAAACCTGTTTATGAAAACCCTGCTCTATGAATAGTGTGGAAGCTCCTGTCAGCTGGCCGTTTGAACAGACCTTAGTTCTCCTCGCACTTGTAGATACTTTTATTTATAGAGCAGGTTACCCGAACACTTTAACACTTCTGTAATGTGAAGGAAACGTTTGTCTGTTCTTCTTTCCTTGGAGTTCCTTCTTTTTTATAGGCAACCATAGGATGTTACTTCATCTTGGTATTATAATATTGTGTTCTTCTAATATACTTCTTCATTATACTGCCATTATGATTGATTTGTATTAAGCAATACATTTTATTTTGTTGGTTGTTTCATATTGTGGGAGTCTTCCCTCTCAGTTATTCTATTCATACCAGTACATTGGCTCTTACCTACTTTGCTGTCATTCAGATGTGTAATGTAAGGTTTAAAATATGTTATATACACATAAAGTAAGCTGTCTCTGTCCATGTACTGATAAAGTAACAAGTAAGAAATAAAGACTTTACGTCTAGAATTTGAGTCAGCTGATCATTTGACATCATCATGTTGACATTTGTTTTTGAAGATCACATATTCTGCTCATTTTCAGCTTCATATCAGTATTTAGTGTCTCTACTGGCTCTGTTGTGATTGGTCAACCGCTAAGAGATGTATCACATACAATGTTTTAAAGCGCTAGCTAATAGAAGCACAGGTGTTACATCGTGATGTCACTATGTGACAGAAGTAAACAAAGGAGTCCAATCTGCAGTGAACCTCAAATGTTTTAAAATCATTTTTATTATGTTTTCACATCATATCTTTAACATTTCTTCCTCACCTAATGTAGATAGATTGATTATGGAGAATCAAAATGTTATGTTTCCAAACTCTCTCAAAAATCAGCTTTGAAGTTTGGCAATTCAAATATACATAATGCGGAATCAACCATGTACATTTACCATGTATAGTACAGGTCATTTCCCAATTGCTCAATGTTTTTTGCTAACCTTTTTCAAGGAATTATCCTTAATTTTACTTGCTGGTAACTAGCACGGCAGCCATTGTTCATAAATAGGCTTTCATTGAAATGTTCAGTATATTTATTCAAACAAAACCTTATAGGAGACCATGAAGGCATCGCAGTAGGCATGTAGCATCTGATCCACAGGGCTGTAGTTCAGGGCCTGGATGTTGGGAGACATCTTTTTGATGAAGATACCGAGGTTAAACTTCTGCTCGCCTGTGGTCGTGTCAAACGAAAAGAAGATCTCCTCGGTGAGTGTGTCGACGTACCGCGTGGCATACAGCACGCCACAGGCCATGAAGGTGTTGGTCACCCCCTGCTTGTAGACCGAAGTCTGCCAGGTCTGGCCGAGCCTCAGCGGCTCACCCTCCTCCACCTTTGACAGCACCAGGTTTCCAAAGTTCTGGTTGGTGGTGTAGATCACCCAAACGCCCGACTCATCTGTCGCCAGGTCCAGGTCCGTGAAAAGGTAGCATCCATCGAGGTGGCAGAAGTTACCCTTTGAGTTAAATCTGAAGAAAGGACAAAACTTTAGAATTCAACATTTTCAAGCAAACATGGAAGACACAACATGGTTTGTAGAAACTGTTGTGGAATATTTTCCAAGGCCCATAACTTTGACCCAGTGTATCAGTTCAAACTGTCCTGACTGAGCACAGGCACCTGTAACCTTGGCTGCTGTGCTCTCAGTGTTTTGTCTCCCTGTTCCTGCCTGTTGGCGTCAGCTGATAGAGGTGTTATCATTCTATCTTGTTATGCAGCATGTTGATGATGCTCTCTGAACTAGCTAAATACATGGGTCTGGGGTAGAGTTCTTCAGAATTGACGTGGCAACTCTACCGTGAAGTCAGAACCTCTGACTCTTGGACTTGTGATGTGAATCCTCCGGCCGTTAACTCCAAATAAACCATCATGTGTTTGACATCAAAGCTACTGCTCTTCCCGTGTCTCCTTCCTGAGTCGGTGACTCCCACTGCATAGCTACACAGAAGTTTCCTCTACAGTAACAACATTTATTCTGGCAGCAGCAACACTTATTAATGATCTTAAGACAAAGCGAACCTGGTGCCTTTGGGTAGTTGCACGCTGGTGACAGTTTTTCTGGTGATGTTGAATTGACAAACAGCATCTTGGTTGTAACAGTTGTAGAACAAGGCCTCTCCATACATCACAACATTTGGACCCTGGATAGTGTTGGTGGTCGGGTTAGAGTGGCTGATCAGGGCGTTACCTGGACGAAGAAGAAAAATAAGAAGAAGAATAATAAGAAGAAGAACAACAACAACAACAACAACAAAATGTTACCACATTTGAGTATTTCTTTTAAATAAGGGTGGGGAAGGTTATTTAAAAAAAATGTATTCAATGACAATTAGTACTTACGTTTTCCAAAATGGAATGAGTAACCTAATCTGAGTAACAAAATAAAAAAGTAATGTAACCTGTAATTAGGTCAGTTGAAAGCAATAATATTAATTTAAAATACAAAATATTAGGTTCAACTTGATATTATTGCTTTCAACTAACCTAATGTGAAATCTGTTGACATAATACATTTAGTCAACGTTTCAGTTATTTCAGTGCAATCCATATCAAGTAAATTGATCTCCTTATTATAGAGCTCCATTGTTGTGTTAATACTATTAAAATAACACATTGTTGCCCTGGGTGACAGTTATCACACACACTCAAAGTGTTACAATCGAAGGCAATACATTTGTAACATTACCACTGAGGAGTTGTTTACCTGGTATGCTAACCCCAACAATGAGAGAACTCAGGCTGGAGTAGAGACGCACGAAGTTGGAGAATTTGTTGCTGACACTCAATATCACCAGCCAATGCCAGCTCTCTTTCCCCGCCTCTGGTTTGGGGTCCCGCCCCCAGGCTCCGTACTTGTAGGCGCCTGGGAACTCTCCCGCTGTGTGCACTCTGGGCCCCGTGATGTTCACAAACTGACCGTGGGGGCAGTTACCTTAGGGGGAAATATTATATGAAAGAGGGGAAATAAATAGTAGTGAATGAGTGCAGCTGACTAGGCGAGGTGTCCATGGGTTGATAAATGCTTGCAAATTGTGGTAATTGGTGCTGAGAGCTTCTTACGGTTCATTTATACCCTGCATTAGCTCTCAGTGAGGAGGGCCCTTCACAGCTCTGAGTGACCTTAAACTGTATGAAGTGCCACTCTCTAGTGCAGTCACTGTACACAGAGAACCATAAGAGCCTCTGAGTGTATTTGAGACCCACTCTATCAAAATCAGTCGGTTGTTGAAATGGCACATGCCAAAACAAACATGGATTTATGTCAGAATCTTGGGTGTTGGTCATTTTGGGGTTTTGGATTATTTGAAACAAACAAAGTCTTGGCTTTCCTTTCAGAACATGCAACTTTTATCGCCACCATCAGATGATAAATACATGTATTGAAGCTTGTAAAGGCAACAAATAAAATAATACATGGTATTTTTATAGCACTTTTCCAGGTGCTCACATTTTAAATTACACTTTTATCCAAAGCGACTAAAAAATGATGGCTTATTCCATAACAAAAATTTGACATGTGTTCCATATATATACAGTATACTCCTGCCAATAGGTGGCGCAGCGTACTGTAACCATACTTACATACCCCCCACCAAAAAAGAGAGAGAGAGAGAGATATATATATATATATATATATATATATATATATATATATATTTGCGAGTTGCATTAGAACTGGTAAGATAGCAGGGTTTCCCACACATAGACTTTACTTGGGCGGGCCGCCGAGGTATATTAATGGCCGCCAAAGTATAATTCGCGAGCTATTTAGGTTTAATTGTTTTAATCCGTCCACGAGCACGACGGCATCTGCGATCCCTCGCTCTACCCCTCGCTATCGCGTGAAGGGTCTGCTTTATGCGCTCCGCACAGTAACCCTGTTGCGAGGCATACAGTGAACAGCGAACAGTTCATGAGCGTGCTCACTAGCGCACCTACCCCCCCCCCCCCCCCCCCGTTCATAACGTCAAGTACCCCTAAAAGGTCCGGTTTATTTCATTTTAAGGATGTGCACCAAGCAACATCTCCAGGTGCTCCTTTGAGAACCAGGGCAAAAAAGTTATGTGCACCCCTGATTATAAAGCTTGTAAATATATGAGTGTCGAAAACAACAGGCAAAATACGCACACAAACGCACTCACACATACTCATCAGCTTTCTTACGCCCTACTTTTCATCATCCAAGTAAATAAAACATCTTTGTCCTCAATGCTACTAGCTTAAAATTAGTTAGCCTAATCAATACGCCGATATGTAATAAGGTTTTTAAATGTTAAGAAGCCCTGAGACACAGTTTCGTGAAATAAAAACCGGAGGGTGGGGGCCTCTTGAACAGGTTAAAATAGCTTTGTAAAAAAAAATGGTTTGCTAACTTTGAGGCCTTTCTTTCATAACTGTGTCTTGATAACAGTCGTTACATTATGTGAGATGTTTAGCTGAATATTTGGAGAACAAAATGTATTATAACCAAGGATATCATTGTAAAGCTAAGAATCTCCTGTTTCCAACAGTGTATCTAATTCAAAATGTGTTACGTTGTCTAGGTGACTAATTTTGATAGAGCAGGTCACCTTTTTGTTAAGGTTACGGTAACATTTGACCCTAACCCTAACCCTAGGTTTGACCTCAACCCTAACCTTGGGTTAAACAATGACACCATCTGATTTAGCCTGTAAAAATATCAAGTAACTCATTGTGAACACAAATAAGATCAGAAGACAATGCATTTCTGTGGGGGCTAAATGACAAAATGTTTAAGTGAACTTTTAAACAAAGGGCAATTCCTACAGTTATGTTTGATCTATCTCCAGTCGAAAGAGAAGTACAAAATAAAGGTGTCCCACACTTTGGCGCTCACTGTAGTTTCGGCACATACCGGGTGGTGGGTGAGTGGGAGGGGGGGCGGGCTGTCCGTTCTGGCACTGGTCCAGGTCTCTCTTCAGACGCTGGTTGGCTTGTTGTGTCTTCATCACTTGCGAGGTGTCGTATGTCTGCAGATCCTGCATCACTGGCCTCAGGTCCTCCAGCTTAGGACACAACACACATGGCAATATTTGTTTTGACTTTATTGTATTACCAAGTTGAATGATTTACCCTCATATAAACTGGACAGGCTTATACATGGATGCACATTGTATCTATGAATTACAAACCTGAAACCCAAACTCACCACAAATTATATATTCCTTATCCTGATAGTTCAGCTACCATTTGAAGTATTTCCAAATTGAAATATACAAAAGCCCCTTTTTAAAACCGAGCAAGGTTCCCATTCCTACATGATCTATAAGTGTTGCATTCAAAGTCAACAGGAGTCATATGTCACTGGAGCCGGTTTTGTGATTGTTAAAAATGTCTTTGCTAAAGAGTGCAATGCCAGAAATAAAGTGATATAGTAAATATAAAAAGTTGTTTCTTTCATACTTTTTCACAAGTAAACAGAGATGGATAGACAGATGGAGAGT